CGATGTAATTGTTCGTCTGTGTATAACATTATCTTATTCGTCACGCAACGCACGTGCGTTTACAATAAAATTATATAATTCCCGTATCAAATTTAACGTCTATCTGATCTAGGAGACAAAGGGCTAAAGGGGACGATTTTATCATAACTGGTCGTAAATAAAGGAACATTTTGCGAAACGGCTTTTTGTTAATTTTAAATGGGTTGCAATATTACACATACATGTGTACCAATAGATTTTTCTGTGCGGTCTTAAACCGAAAAGACAGGGGCCTCATAGCCTAGCGGTCTTAATGGCAGCTAGGTGAGGGGTACCGGGTTCGATTCCCGGTTCGAGGGCAAGTTTTGATTTAATTTAAATTTGTTCTCGGCCTTTGGGAGGGTTGTGCGGTACCGGGCGAGTGCTTAAACCGTACATGGAGGACACGGTCGAATTTTTAAAAGACAAGCACGAATTATAAAAAAATAAAAAAGGGTGCGTGTACTTATGTACGCGCGTAATAAGTCATACTTCTTTGGCATTATTAAATATAGTTTTTGATTGCATGCAAATAATTATTTACAATTAAATAATAAAAGACGGGAAAAGGAGTCATTATCAATAAAGTTCAGTTTACATTTGAAAAATTAAATAAATAAATATTTATTATTATTCTCTTACATTAAGTGTTACATAAATTCTATTATTATTCGAATGTTGTTTGTAAATTATGTCCAATGCCGTAGCATCTTCCGTGCGCAACTTCATTCTGCTAATTTTGTGTCACGGTGCGCGCGCGTCGTAAAATTTCACTCTCATCAATTTTTCATAACGCGCCTAAAGAAGTATAACTTCAAAAATCCTATACTTGACGCTGGCTAATGCACATACCGTGCCATAGCCATAAAAAAAACCGAAAAGACCCTTGTCAGGTGGAGAATGATCATCTATTTTTATCAACCGTTCAAGTATTACATAACCACTAATTGGTGTTCTTAGATTTTCTTATTTGGTGATTACGTCAACAGTAATTATTTACTTTTTTACATATATTACATTGTCTATGCTCGAAAACGAAATGCATTTTCGAGGATTCCTACAAAAAATTAATACGTTTATGTACTATTATTTTTCAGAGCTTTGTTTACTTTTGCTGACAAGAGGAAGGGGGGGGGGGATAAATTGCAGTAAATCTGCTTACGTAATACTTGAACGGCCCCAGAAGAGTTGTAGAAATCTGAAGAACAAATGATGTTATTCTTCTTCGTAGTCTTCATTACTGAAGACTAGGAAGCTACTAGTCTTGAAAGGCCCTAGCTGAGGCGTTGACTTGCCTCCACACTGATCTATCCTCCACCTGACTCAGAGCATTAGGGATGACCCATAATTGTCTTAATTTGGTCAGACCATGGGTCTTTTTTTTTCAAAGTGTTTTAGATGAGCTAAACTATAATGTTACACTGAATGATAAAGTCAAAGTCAAAGTCAAATCGTTTATTTCAATTAGACCATCTAAAATGGCACTTTTGAACGTCAAAAAAAAAATATAAAGATGATTCTAGTTGCCCCTTCCAAAAGGTAATTTCGTGTGGAGAAGAATGGGCAAGAAACTCCACACTTACTCTTTTAAAATAGGTTTACAATATTTTGTTACATTTGTTAAATAATTATATGTGAAGACAATGTACTCTTAGAATAAACTACTATACTAAAAAAGTTAGTATACATGTTCCTCACATATTTACAAATATCGAAACCTTAGAATATTAACACTTAATATTCTAAGCCGGCTCGGTGCGAGCCTTTGAGCTGTGAGTTTTGCGGTCCACACGTTGATTTTTACTCGACTTCGAGTAAAACTATCGAGAAATACCGTATGTGAGTACTGACCTTAAGATTGACTTTAATATGTCAAAAATGTATTGGAGACGTACGGGATATATTGTTTGTGCAAAGTTTTTCAATCTCACCCTCTTGACTCTAATTTTATTAGCAGCAAGTCAGTTGTTAATTTTCCCCTACTTAAGATTCCCCTAATAGTAAATAATATTATTATCACATTAAGATGATAAATATTAAGATTTTCCATCCGATTCCGTGCGTGAACATTTTAACAAAACCCTCTACGGATTTAAGTTTTTAAATCGTAGCCAAACCACAGAGCTATAGATAGAACGCAAGTAAAAGTTGCTACGTGTTACACGTCACTGATGACGTCGCGTGCGCCCTTTTCACAATCACGATACATTACATAAAGCTTACGAAGGTTGTGAAAGCCTGACAATTCAGCAGGTTTATTCCGTTACTTTAATAAAATTTATTTAATAAAACACTATTTTGACCGGATTGAAGTTATGTATTATTATAAATTTACAACTATTTAACATAATTTTAAATTTATTAATTTATTAAATTTATTTGTTATTTGAAAAATCAATTTACAAATTTCATCGCTAAGTTTATACACGACATCAGAACATAAGCCTAGGCTCCACGCTTAAACCAATAATTGTAAATAGCACGAGATGGGGCTTCATTAAGAAATGCTAATCGCAACGAAAGTCATAATAAATCGTTGACCGAAAATTTTTCGAGCAATTGTTTTTGCGTATTAGGAAAGGTTACCATTTTAATTAAACAGCTTTTGTTTTAATAAATTAATATCTCTGATAGGTGCAGTGTTGGCCTAGTAGCTTATGCTCGCGGCTCTTATTCCTGAGGTCGTAGGTTCGATACCTTGCACCAATGGAATTTCTGTGAGGGAAAACATTGTTAGGAATCCGACATGTCTACAAAAGAGACATGAATCAGACAGAAGATCGATCACCTACTTGTCTATGAAATCATCAAAGAAACGGATGGAATCTGAGACCATAACCAAGTGTTGTAGTGCCACTGGATTAATATTCTTAATATCTTCGATAAGACAATACAGCGAGGTAATGTTTGAATGGAAGGAAGGTGCCAGTGGAACTACTGTCTGGCTGACTCGAAGGCCTAGGCTTAGGTTCTGATGTTGTGTATAAACTTAGCGATGGGAATTTGAATATGACGTCTTCGTACTTATTGTCGTTGAAGACTGTAGGTGTATACAAATAATCCTTTTGCGTATTCGGATTTTGCCCCCAAAAGTTGATGTCGACCAGAATCTCTGCTATCTAAAGACTGGGTGAGCAAAATCCAATAAAACTACCTCGTATAGTTCCTACAAAGCTGCGTTACAGAGGTCGAGGTCGCTCTTGCATTCTACCGGGGCAAATACCCTGCTGCAAATGCAATTTTTTTTTATTTAATGAGAAAAATTTACTTAGTGTTGTCTTTGATTGACATAACCTTTACACATTTAAAGAAAAAACTTTTTAACCGGATTAAAGTTATGTTAATACATAACTTTAATCATAATTTATAATAATTTATAAATTTACAACTATTTAACATAATTTTAAATTGGATGGAAATGATGAAAAAGATGGAGGGTTTTTTGCCAAAACCCTCCATCTTTTAGTCGATACCAACTCCGGGGAAATAAATACAGATAATGCAACTTTCTCTACAGCTGTGATACTTTTTGACATCCAACACCTTTTGTCTTCAGTCACCGTGACCACGCACGCTGTAAAGCACGCCAAACGTCGGATAAATTTAAAATTATGTTAAATAGTTGTAAATTTATAATAATACATAACTTTAATCCGGTTAAAAAGTTTTTTCTTTAAAAATTTACTTACTAAATATACTGTTCTTTTTACGCCATTAAACAAATCTTTACAAATAGTTAAGTACTTAATAATTAAGTGGATTGGTAACAATAAAATCATTTTAATCCAACTATCTATATCTATCAAAGAAAGCAATAAGCTAACTAAAATTAGTTAAGGAACACTTAGGGTATAACTTACACTTATAAAAACTTCCAACTATTTATTCCACTGAGGAACTCAGATGTCAGAATTCCCCTGCCAACACCACACTTAAAGTGAATAGGTCAATATCAACAGTTAAAAAAAGAGTGGCGGAGAGTTTATTGCCAGTTCTTCTCGCCCGTTCTACGCCCTTGATTTGAGAACTTGCAGTAAATAAAATTAGAAGCATTTAGCATTTATATGTCTTTCTTTTTTGACGTTCATAAGCGTATATGTGTGTGGGTGTAATTTTGAATTTGAATTTGTTAAATTGTATATTATATACTCTTTTTTTTAATAAACGCAATTGTACTGTTTTATCTTAATGACATTCATAACTAAGAAAAAACAAAAGAGTACTTTCTTTACAAGAGGTACAAATAGGCTGAATTATTTTCTTAATATTAATTGTTAAATGATAATTATGTGTAAAATCTAGACTTTCCATATCGAAACATTGTCTTTCAATTCCACTAACCATTAAATATTCAGTACTCCGAACGCTTGATTAATACGGAAAATTCACAGAACGGATAACTCATTGGTTAGCGTGCACGTCGATGAAATTTAATATTCCGGCTATAACCTAGTTATCTGTATAAAAAACAAGTAACGTTGAAGGGACCGTGAAGGCAGTACCATTTGCCCGCCCGCCCTAGCTGCACGTAAGCTCACTATAAACTTTGTACGCACGCACCTTATAATACTTTTTATTTCCGTTTAGTTCTGTACATCCGCAAAGACATTCCGACTTCATTCTGTTTCACTGCTTGTTTTGCGATTGTTATTTTTTTCAAGTGGCGTTGTGTTGGATACAATTGAATTTCGCCGGGAATCGAACATATGACGCGGTGTCCGTTATTTGTTACGTTTACGATGATGTTATTGTTCTAAATTATTTAAATATAGACTTAATTATATATATATATATATATATATATTATATTCACGAATTTAAGTGGCTGTATAGGCAATATGTTACAGTTGTTTGTTTGATTGTAACAGTAATTATAGCTTTTAAAATACATATCGCACCACAAATTACGATTTTTTTCAAATATGCATAACTTTTTAACATTTATTGTATTTTACAGCAAAAGCAAAATATGGCATACTGAAATGAGCCTATTCGTCGATTTGCGTCAGATAAAAACATCTGTAGCCAATCTTTCAGAAATGGTTGACAATATATCCAAAGCGAATGCCCGAAAACAAAGCGTCGATTCTGCGTTTACATACAGACCGTTGGGGCTTGGTGTACGTTTCTCCCAAAGCCAAGAACACATTGATATGCCGTCCAGACTGCGAAGTCACATGTCACTACCGAATCTGGGTAAATGCGAGCCGGAGAAATCTCGTTTTGATAACCCCAAAATAGTAGAAATTGATAATGAATCCTCAACTGACAAATTTAACGGATTGATTGTTGCCTCGCTGAACAAGCGACCGTTCTTCGACGACAGCGCTGAAACCCATCCCATGGACTTCCTGGAGAACGTTAAGTATTATATTTCCGAACTAAACATACCAGAGGAGAAACAGTTTCCATTCATTATATCCTGTCTCGGTGGTTTACCACTCATGTGGCTGCGTTGTTTCAAAAGCGAGTTCAAAACAGTTGAAAACTTCTACTCCGCCTTCGAAGAGGAGTTCTGGGGACCAAATAGACAAAAGGCAGTTCTGTATGATATGAAACTGGGGAAGTACGATGAAAGCGATACGCGGAGTATGTCCGAATATTTTTTATGTAAAGTATCGAATTATAAGCATTTAAATCCACCAGCATCTGATTTGGAAATTGTTTACTCTCTCGCTGCTCACTTCCCTTCTGCGGTAGAGTTGGAATTGCGTTTAACTCCAAAACCGAGTCTCCGCGAAGCGTATGGTCTACTCCGTAGAAGGGAAGGGGAGGGGAATGATTTCCTTCCTAATTATTTGTATGAAATGTGCGAGGCATTTCAACGAGGAATACGACCGGAATCTGCTAGACGCAATGATATTTCCCAGGATACACAACGAACTAAATAATTGATGTAATTTTTAAATAACAATAAACAACAGTTTTAACAATGTTTTTCAGTACCTACTAATAATTCATTGTTCGATTTTGTTCCCTTGGAGTAGAGAATCTTGGTATCAAGTGCACAGGCGCTAATTCAAGATTTAAGTTGGCGCCTGGTAGATAATACCTGTGACCTCAGAGCTGGTGCTTTCCTCCTCAACGAATAAGTATCGCAATACAGCGAGGAAATGCTGTCATTAAAGGTACAATGCCACAGGGACCAAACTTTTTAAATTTGTTTTTATTGTTTTTAATAAATTGAAAATATATGTATATTTGTCAAATTAAAATCACATTAATAAATAACATTTGAAATATCTATAATTGTTATGACAATTACATGAGGAACGAAATGCTACGATATCGCTTTATTGTGATTGGTGGCTGTTTACCAATCACGATCGAGCGAAGCGAACAATAGTTTTTTTAAATCAGTAACCCTAAGGCCTACAACGCACTAGCGGCTGGCCGCACATCGATTATTACATGAAACCGCACGATAACAACGCACTGACTTGCGGACAACCGTCAACCGCTCCGGTTGATCTGGAGCTGCGGCGAGCCGCACCCGTTGAATGATGCGGCGCGCCGCATCCCCTCCACGCACTCGGCGCGGTTAGCCGCAAATACCACGTCCTACCCGCCTCAGTCATCGCTTGTTCCTTGCGCTAGACACTACGCAGAGTATTTTTGACGATATTTTCTACGATGATATAAATTGATTAACTGCCGCAACTTCTTCAACGTCCATCATGTGCAATATTTCAAGAAGCACTTGACGAGTGACGATTGCGGCAGACCGCAATAGGGACGGTTAGCCGGAATACGGCATGCCGCTACGGCAGACCGTATATACTGCGGCCTACCGCAGCGGCACACCGCATCACGGCCAGCCGCTAGTGCGTTGTAGGCCTAAAGGTGGTGAGCAGTGTTGGACTAGTGCCTTCAGCGTGCGACTCTCATCCCTGAGGTCGTAGGTTCGATCCCCGGCTGTGCACCAATGGACTTTCTATGTGCGCATTTAACATTAGCTCGAACGGTGAAAAAAAACATCGTGAGGAAACCGGCTTGCCTTAGACCCATAAAGTCAGCGGCGTGCGTCAGGCACAGAAGGCTGATCACCTACTTGCCTATTAGATTAACAAATGATCATGAAACGGATACAGAAATCTGAGGCCCAGACTTAAAAAGGTTCTAGCGCCATTGATTTATACTATAATCTTAAAGGTGAGTTTCAGAAACTAGAGCGGGAACTATAACTTCCGAATGTCAAAATAAAATATATTTTTAACGTATGGAATATCAGCTTGAGTGGCTCGCTACTAAAATATCGATGAAAGACGCAACTATTTTAATATGGAACAACAATCAAGAACATTAAAACGTTAGTCTTAAAGTTAATTACCTGTACCTACCATTTATACAAATATTATTGAACTAGCGGTCCATCCCGGCTTCGCACGGCTGGACATTTATTATTTAAACATCTTTTATAGATATTGATATGTTCTTTAACATTGTGGAACATTTTTTTGTTCTATCATCAATCGTTTTCGCAGCGCATGCGATTATTATTGTAGTTTTAGTAGGGCTCCTTATTTTTTCTTGCAATTAAAATATATAAACAGTGATAATGTAGAATTGGAATGGTGAAAGAATTTTTAAAATCGGTCCAGTAATTTTTGGGCCAATTCGTTACAAACATACTTATATTATCTTTCTTCTATAATATTAGTATGGATAACTTTATTTAATAAGTGTAACTATTTCAAAAAGGCCCTGGCCTGTTTTGGCATTTCGCATTTTAAATAAATTTATAGAGAAACTTTTTTGTTGTTTTTGATTATAAATATTGCTTTTCATAAATGAGTCTAACGAACGGCCTCACTGTCTATTGAAACAAGTGAAAAGGCCGTTCTTTGAGTCTCATATTTCGGCCTAACCTACATTTAACCACAAATAAATTAGATAATTAGGTCAAATTCCGATTGCTTTAAAATCATCAATGCGTTAAAATTTGACCTATACTAGTATTGTCTTTTATTGACATAACTTTTACACATTTAAAGAAAACACTTTTTTACCGGATTGAAATTATGAATTATAAATTTACAATTTTTTTACATAATTTTAAATTTTTCCGACGTTTCGCGTGCTATACAGCGTGCGTGGTCACGGTGACTGAAGACAAAAGGTGTTGAATGGAAAAAGTATCACAGCTGTAGAAAAAGTTGTGTTATCTGTATTTATTTCCCCGGAGTTGGTATCGACTAAAAGATGGAGGGTTTTGGCAGAAATGGCTCACGGTGTCCTCTATTTTCGCGGATTGTTTATTTAGAGATTTTAACTTGGATATTATTGGATCCCAGGTGTTTGACAATTTTAGGCCGTCTTCTCTATTGATTTGTTAATAGTACATAACTCCAATCCGGTAAAAAAGTGTTTTCCGACCTATACTATTTATTTTTACGCATATTAAGGAATCTTAAAGTTTCTCTTAAAAGATGTAATATAAGCGATTGTTGTGTTACGATTTGCCTTTTTGTGATTTTTTTTGTATTAGAGGCAAGTCTCCTTTCAGATACGTACCAATTCTTTCAAGTCCGGCAACGTACTCGTACTTGCGAGCCTTGCGGCTTTTTTTCTTAAAAAAGAGTAACGCTTACAACGAAAAGATACATTATTTATTTATTTCCAACAAAGAAATATACAATTTTACAATTTTCTTAACCTACATAGTAATAATAATAATTAAAAATAATAAATAGAAAATTAAAACAAATTTGGTCCCTGTGGCACCTTTAACGCTGGCAGCATTTCCTCGCTGTATCGCGATTCTTATTCGTTGAGCGAGAAAAGCAACAGCTCTGGGGTCACCCGTACTATCAGGCGCCAACTTAAATCTTTAATGCACTTAAATCCCAAGGCCCAAGAGTCTCTAGTCCAAAGGGAACAATATGGAAGTTGGAAATAGAATTTTACTATTCGTACGTACGTAGGATATTAAAACCCAGTTCTTTGAAGTTATTGCACTTATTTTCTCCCTTATCGTTCAACGTCTTTTCTAAAACAATGTTATGTATATATATTCCTTACCTGTTATCATGGTATCTACACGCTCCATAGTTCGAAAACAGAGCGTTTTTATGACACTTTTGACTGCCACCACTATGTGGAACCGATTCGACTTCAAGAAATGGGTACTAATTCTTAAAAAGGCAACCCACTTGCGAACACTCTGGCAGTGTGAGTGTCCATGTACATGCAGATGAGGCTTCTGCCTATTCTATTCGCTATTTCATCCTATAGGAAATTACGAATTCCAGTTTATTAAACCGATAATTTATAATTTGCAATGATACATCAGTCACAAGTCAAAAGCTTGTGACTTGCCAGAGAAGTATGGAAAGGAGCATACTAGGTTACACACGGAATGATAGGAAAAGAGCTGTAGATCTCCGAAGGATCACCAACTGGGAAGATGCAATGACCAGAGCCAAAAAGCTTAAATGGAGGACAGGACACCTGGTTAGAGGCCAGAGAGCAAAATGGTCGAAAAAAGTCACTCAATGGACACCTCGCTACAACACCAAGCGAAAGAGAGGAAGACCATGTGCGCGGGGGGCTGATGACTTTAAAAAAGCCACTGGTCCTCTGTGGCAAAGACTTGCCAGGGATAGGAAGCACTGGAAACAGCTGGAGGAGGCCTTTGTGCCACAAAGGCAAGCTGTACAAGAGGACAGCTGTGCAATAAAACCTTCGTAAAGAACTTTTTTTATATACAATTATATTTTGTAAACTTTCTCTTGTATTAGTTGAAATACAAGAGAAAGGCTTTGAATCTTGAATCTTGAATGATACATACAGTAGTAAATTAAGGTTCTATAATCTATAAATATCTATTTACAGAAGCCGTAAACCATTAATTAAAAATTTGCGATACATCAAGGCCTTAGATGGGGCAGGTCTCGAGAAAGAAGAAACTTAATGTTACATTGTAATTATTTAACAAAAACTTTGCTGATAATAATAATTAAAATGTATTTATTTAAGCAGACAGAGTATCATAAGTCCATGGTTATTATTGTGTTAGTTCCAATAGTGTCTTAACATTATATTAGTAGCTTTAAAGTATATTAAATTAAAAAGGGCACATGCAATCCATTGCAATGACCCATGTTAGGGAAATACAGCCTTCCCGCTATTGCTTTTAGGGCTCCCCGCACGCGCCTTAAAAGAAATACAGCTCGCTTGCGCATCGTAGCGTAAAATCTGTCCACACATGCACAACCAAACATTGAGGACGCGCTGCAATGGTGTAACAAATACCAATTTTTAAAATGTAATATCAAACAATAAATAAAATAAAAATAACATAATACTGCTAACATAAATTTAAATAACAAAAAGCAATAACTAACCTTAAAATATAATAACTAAAATATATTATTAAAAGGAGTCTCTTTAGGCAAGGTTCCGAAGATACTGGCAGCGTACTCAGCGAGGTAGCAATTGTAAATTAACTTGGAAACACGTATTTACAGAGCCCTGCACGAGAGCGTAGGAAACTGGACAGAAAGCGATTGCTGGGAGGCGAGACAAAATGGTAGCCTCTGGGGTGAACAGGCGCGAGTCTGTAGACGGCAGCCAACAGCAATGCCTCACGTAGCGGCCGCAGCACGACTGGTCCGCTCAGCCTGTCTTTCTGCCCACGCGGGCGAACGATGGAACTGCTCATCCATTGAACTAGCGCCGAAGTATTCGCCAGATTTGCTCACAGGTATTTTAACGATATTTATGAATACATTAAGTTATTAATGAAAAGCACAATAATTTGTTCCCCAATTCTGTGTTCCACTACCTCACATTATCTGATAAAAATGCTTAAGAGTCGAACAAACTAAAAGACCTTAAGAGCTTAATGCTCTCTGGACAGAAATTGAACAAGAAGGTAATTAATGGCTAAATGGTAATTAATTAATTAATTTTGAAACTAAATAAAAATCGTACTAAAATGGTATCGGAAAATTGTATGCATAAGCAATGTATAATGAAATCAAATTCTATAAAAAAAAATACGTTTTCTGTGTTAGCCTTCGAAATTATAAACTCTAAATAAATTAAATTCATTTACTATTAAATATAAAGATAAACGAATTGAATAAAAGTGGTTGCCTGGAAGAGATCGCTCGTAAGCGATAAGGCCGCCAGTTGCTCTCCTTTTTATTTAATTATATCAATTGTACTATATTTATACATAAATGCAACGAAGTGTTGATAAATAAATAAATAAATAAATAAATAAAAAACAGTCAACCCAGTAGAAAAATAATAAAGAAAATATTAAATTTAAATTACTTATTCTCACTATTTCTAAAATTAAATGTTTAGAATAAAATCCAGACAAAAATGGCATCCCACATAAAGATAAATTAGAGATGTTAAAACAAAGAGAAGTTATGGGAATATAAATTCTTAAACCTCCTATATAACGAATATCCTGGTTATCATTTAACATATTTCGAACTTTTCAGCCGGTTGGGTAATATTCACCAAATTATCTACAGCTATAGGTGTATTTATGCCTGAGCTGATTGGTGTTTGTTATCAGCCGCCTGTGCCTGACACATATTGTGGGGGGTTTTAGAGTCAAGACTTGGCTAAGTATGACTCCGTACGTCAAACATTTATTTTTAAATGAATGCACGATTTTAGGGTCGAGACACTTATCCAATATTATAAATAGTAATCACAAACTTTTAATCAAATGGCTAGACTTAGCACCTTTGTCGAACAAAGTTCTGAAAAAGGAACTCAACTCTTCAGAGAAAAGTCTCGCATGTTAGTTGAATAGAATTAAGAAAGTTGCCGACTTCATTTCTGTTAAGTTTCTTAACAAGTACGGGAATTCAGTCGCCCCGCTTCCCTATTACCGTAATACAGAAACATACAAAATCTGATCCAATTTAACCCCAAGATTATACAAGTGTGAGTGTGTTCAGAGTTGTTGCATACCTGCAGCTAAGTTCCATCATCGGAAGTCAAAATGCGAAATTCCACCCGTATCACCTTAACGTCCATCGTTCCAGAACTAAGCGTTTTTGGAAGTTTGTGAAGCACTATGTGAAACCACTGAGCTGCCCACTGAAGTATATCTAAACCAAGGATTCAACTCAAAATAACTTCATTCATATAGGTAACCAAGCACACTTATGAACGTCAACAAGAAAGATGTTAAATTGATTCTAAATTTACATTATCTACCAGTACTCAAGTAAAGGGCATAGAGCGGGCAAGAAGAACTGGCAAGAAACTCTCCGCCACTCTTTTTAATCGCCAAGTTTTGAGTCATACAAACTGTTTGAACTGGAGCAAATCAATCCCAAGGACTAAGATCATTTACATAATCGTAAAATTTATAAAAAGCTTTATTGATTAATTTACGTTTAACGTTTTGAATTTATTCAATGATAATTCTCTAATTTCGCTTGGGAGTTTGTTGTAAAGACGAATACAATTTCCATCCAAGATAAATAAAAATAAAATAAAATATGTTTATTATGGAACATAAGATACATGTATCACTTATTCCACGTCATTAAATTTGAATTTGTAGGCATCCCTACTCATCGGCAAAGAAGACAGAGGGTGTAGGCCGAGAGAAAAAGCCGGCGTAAAAAACTCTCGGTACTCTTTTAAAATAGCAAATCATCAAACAACACTTATTTTTAAAATAAGTAATAAATAATAAGTACATAACACTCGTGGTCCCGATCGCATTAAAATTGTGCGATAGCTATATTTGTTCGTAATAATCTTTAATCTTGATAATAAACCAAATCGTGTTTTAACGTTGTGCGGACGGACGCGGACGCTTCGTTCCGCATTCTACCTTTACCGCTTTTCGGGTAATTAATTTTTAAATGTAAAAGGATGTAATAAATTGTTGTTAAAGACATATCCGGTAAGGCTGTTAGAGAACAATTACACTATTTCGGACGATAATTGTCATACAAGTGAATGAATCGAGACATGGGCGGATCGTGAATTTGTGAGGCTCTATTACGGGGGACTTCCCCGTGCACACACGCGAAAAAATACAACAACCGAACAAGCGACGGGGAATTTCCCGTTCCGTTCGATAGACGCGCATCGCACATGGGCTGATTGATGTCAGGGATACCAAATGATTGGATTTTTTTTAATTTCAGATATTTCATTCAAGTCAAAATTTTAAATTTTACGAGCAGTTTTGGCCTAATAGCTTCAGCGTGCGACTCTCAGAGGTTAGGTTCAAACCCCAGATATGCACCAATGAACTTTCTTTTTTTACACTCGTATGACGGAAAACATCGTTAGGAACATTTAAGTGACATTTGTCAGAAGATACTTGCTTACTAATATAAATAATTCCTTCCAAAGACATTCCTTAGTTAAATAAGGAATACGAGCGACAGGTCTCAACAGCCGATGAAAAACATGGCCTGCTATTGCGTGTTCTGGGCCAATTCCTTCTCAAAATCCCTGTTTGTTTGTCGTGAATAACGTGACAGTTGACGGTAAGCCTTTTTGCTGAGGAAATAAAAGCGAATATTGCATATCATTGTTAGATAATTGCGCTATTCGCGATTTATTGATCTTTGAACAATTTGTTTGCGTGAATAAGTTTAAAGGTAAAGTAAGTACAATTTATTTATATACACGCTTACAAATACAAAGAAATATACAAATTTATCTTACACCTAGCTGACCCGCCAAACATTTGTTTTGCCATGTAAATTATTTCTAAGAAATATTATTTTAGTTCCATAAAAATAACTATCTACAATAATAAAAAATAAGGGTTGATCGTAGAGGTATGAAAATTAGGGGTTGTATCTATTTTTGTATGCTGTATCATAAAAAATGAAAACAAAAAAAATCTATAAAAAATTTTTTGGGGTGGACCCTTATCACTTAGGGGGTTGAAAGATAGATAGTAGCCGATTCTCAAACCTACTGAATATGCATATAAAATTTGATAAGAATCGGTCAAGCCGTTTCGGAGGAGTATGGTAACTAACATTGTGACAAGAGAATTTTATACATAAGATATAGAAATTACAAATAAGCAATAGGGAAAACGACAAAAATCAAATGTAAAATTAACTTAATTAATGTATGAATTCGAATACAAACATACAGTATTTACGATATTCTTATGCTAATAAATAGAAAATTAAAACAAATTTAAAAAATTTGATCCTCTACCTGTGAACCTTTAATGCTGGCAGCATTTTGTCACTGTATCAGGTACCTATTCGTTAATTATTTAATTTAACTAAAACTAAATCGAAACTTAAACCAGAACAATTGATCCGGTTGGCACAGATTATTCTATTTAAGGTCGATTCACACATATCAGTGAACCCACAGTTCCGGCACAGTACCGTTACAGTTCCGTATCCGTGCTACAGTGGTGCGTCAGTGCTTCAATTCACACATGTCAGTACTCAGTTTACGGAGCTTCAGTGAAAACGTGTCCCTCGCGTTGTCAAGTAACGTGATTATGGCTCTATTCAATACTACGGAGCTAGCAATGATAGCTGTTGCTTTAGATGAAGAAGAAGAGCAGCATCAAGGAAAAAAAAGAAAATGGGTGCATGAAGCATGCCAATTAAGAGAGACGGAAGGAGAATTCATCATATTATACAAAGAATTAGTTAAAGAAAATATTTTAAAATGTCAGAGAGCTGCTTCAATATTCTTCTGCAATAAATAAAATGTAACAAATAATAACGCGGCGTCAGTGATCCGAGATAAAATATCGTTGTCGCCGATCACGTCCGTGATGGCCGGTGCCGGCACTGACACTGACGGTACTGAGACGACACTGACACTGACAAGTGTGAATACATCCATAGAGAATGTTTGAAAGAATAATTATCACTGATGCGGTACTGTGCCGGAACTGTGGGCTCACTGATATGTGTGAATCGACCTTAATTCTATGTTGTTGTAATTATTTGTTTAAATACTTAAGATGCACATATATCTCTATTTATTTTCCTCCTTTCTTTTCTCCTTCTCTGCCTAATGCTAGTCCAAGCCAAATGTTTACTGGAAATCTAACCTAAGACCTTTGTACTAATGTGTTTTGTGGCACTAAGGTAGGAAGGGAAATACGTATTTCATTTCACTACTGAATTAAAACCAACCTAGTTCATCCTGTAACTCACTTTTCGAACTCTCACAGCGGATTTCGTAGCGGCGGTCGCGCTCAAATCAGTCGTGAAGCAGTCATTCTACGATTTGGCATTCTGATAAGGTCCCGCTTGTAGTTTATTGTTTATCAGAATAATAATGTTAATATACTGGGCAATAAAAGCTTAATAATAATACCACTTCTCCGGCATAACGCGATGTCGGAGGTGCATGACTTTTCGGAGATTTATGGGGCACTGTTCTTCGGTCAGACGTACATTGATGCTGGCCCCCAGTCGCTATCGAAGGCATCGTCTATTTCTAACGAAATTTCTACAAACGTTTTCATCTTCTCGATGGTGTAGCCTTCTCTTCTTTATATTAGCCGCTTTTCTCAAAATCCCTAACGCCCGAACCCAATAACCTCAATCCATAATCCACCATCTGAGATAGCAATCTTAATCCAAATGTTGTAACATGTGTGCCAATATCCAATCGACGGATTGTAATAGCCATCTGGCGATACAAGCTATCCATGGGAGGTCGGTGTCTGTGTGTAGACCTTTGTATGAAAATTACAGTTGACGAAAGCTCGAT